TTTCTCCCATATTCTCCTGTTACTCTTTCGCATTCATCGCTTGCATTCACTTTTTATGTTTGTGACCATGCTCTTCAAAAATAAATGATAATATTAGCACCTATCCGGTGCATAGCTGCCATGCCACCCGAAGGAAGCATATAAGAAAACTGAGACCGTAATTTATTCGGATAACAGGAGTAATGGATACTACTCACAAGGTTGCTGCAAACTCTTCGACAGCCCACGACCGGTTTCGCTCTTCTTGGGGCTCATCAGCAACCTAGTGAGTAGTTTCCTTTATGAAAATCTACTGCGATATCTCGAATATTGTGCCAACTGCATCATGAGGCGGCCTGTGTACAGCACATTCAGTTGCATCATATCATAAACGAGAGATTCAGTTGAGTCTCTCGTGAAAACCAAATTGATTTGCAAATGAGTGTAATTCTCGAAAAGGAGTAATGGATATTCGCGCAGTCCAGTTGCAGTGTCGTGAGTAAGTATCTCCGGTGCATTAAGTAACATTTCTTGCATTTTTATAGAGCGACCTCAACGTGACAACGCTATTACCTCCTTTATGTTGGTATTTCGTTACACACACTTGTTCTGTTCACAGAGGAACTGCAGTCCAAACGATGTGCGAGATATGACCCATTTTAAATTGGTTCTTCTCAAGCTTATCAAAGCTTAACCGAATTCAACTTTTACACTTGGTTTGCTCGCTGTTGTTTCGTAGATTTTCGGACCACACATGAAATACCATAAGTGTTATGTGACCGATCATGCTCTTCTCCAGCCCGCATTCACGGTTCGCTTGTCGTTCACATCATGTGAAGTGTTCTGACTTCTGGATTGTGTTATTAGCTTTGTTGTTGTCATTTACAATCGTATATATTCAGCTGTTTCTGTTCAAGTTCTGTGACCTTGGAACTTAACCCTTGCACCACATTCTTTTATTGCAGGTTCCCTATGGTCTTCGCATTCGCTCAAGCATTCTCTTTCGCGGGAGCATTTTGGGTCCACGGGCCTGTTTGTCGAGCAGTTCCTTCTGGCTCTGTACGACTATACTCCCCCAAGTGCTCTCGAATCCCAGTCCCAGATATCTGTAGAAAAAGGTGTGTTCGCCTCTGATTTTTGTTACCCTGAGTCAAAGTTTGTTCCGACTGAGTTCGACTTTTCACCGCCCAGGGAAACTCCCGTTTGGTTGCTTTGCTCGATACTTACTCATTTTGACTAACGTCCATATTCGTGATTGCCAACTTCGAATCTTCAATTGCTTGATATAAACTTTCACTGAATGATGCCAACTTTCTCCCACACAATTACGACCATAACAGTGTGCTTCTCACAGACCTATCAGACAATAGGCCGTTGGTCAGTTAGTGATTTGTGCTTCATATCCTTTCTCCATTTCCTTTGTAGACGATCGACTTCGTCTGTTCGGATACAGTGCTGACGGCGATTGGGCGGACGTGGAATGCTTGCGGACCTGTGAACGGGGTTGGATCCCTACCAACTATACGACGCCTTTGACTCCACCTGGTCGCTCACATCTGACTAACCGACCTAGTTCGGTCACATTTCAGCAAAGCAACAGTCGAGGCACGAGTGGCCATGGCAGCCAAGCCAGTTTGGCTGGAGTGGGTTTGGATATGGAGAAATGGTACCACGGTGCTATTCAGCGCAGCTACGCGGAATATCTTCTTAATAGTGGGATTACTGGTAGCTTTTTAGTTCGAGAGTCGGAGAGCAAGCCGGGTCAGTTAACCATCAGTCTGCGGTACGAAGGACGTATTTATCACTATAGGATTAATCGGGATGACAACGGCATGGTGGGTGTTTTATGCGGTTCAATTGTCGTTAGCGTGTTGCTGTATGCTGTTCAGAATGTGATAGGCGGCTTTTTGCAACAATCATCATGCTTGACAATCCGTTAACTTTCGGTGATATCCGTTTGCTATGCTGTCATGGTCCGATTCCACGGGCAATCGCTTTATCAGGCGATCTACTTGATAAACCTTGATTACTCCTGCGTGAATTCGGCTGAATACGTTCAGTGATCCATTCGGTAGTCAACATAGCACCGAAATTGGAATCCTTGACCGCGTTCGGTTCGGCTTCCTTGGCCGATTTTTTGTCAATCTTGTGAGATTTCGAGTTGCACTGTTTCCATCATCTGTTGACCCATCTTAATCAGATTAATTAAATATCATCACTGCTACCAGCCGTCACTTTCTTTGCATTGTGGTCCCAACGTCTCACGTTTGTTTTAAGTCTAGCTGGATAGGCTATCGGCTTCACACTCACACTGTCTACCACCTGAGCAACTTGCTTGACTCTGATGACCGTCGTTTTTACACGGGCAGCCGAAGTCAGGAACTGACTGACGTTTCTCCAACAAGAATGTGCCGTTTGCATAGCGTTACTGAACGGTGAAAAGCCAACTAATAGATAGCAGTACCTCATTTAGGAGAAATTTTGAGTCTCTCACATATCAGTGATTTATGTAACTGACATTCAGTTCTGTAAGAGAAACCCATCTGTGCTGAGAACCCGAGAAGCGGGTTCGAAACCCCTACATTTTCGTGAGCTCTGCACTGCTGATACCTTCTAATTGGGATGAAGCAGCTACACACCGCTTTTCTAGCACAGATTGGTTTCAATTACAGGACGAAATGTCATTTGAAAATTTCCGAATGTCCTCACATTACGAACGATTTAGGTAACTTGGCCTGTCTGTCTTTTACATCCATAATTTTTCATTAGATTGATCTGGACGGCTTATTCCTCAGTTCAGTTACTTGCACCCTTATTCATTTTATCTGCTTATCTGTTAATCAATGCTATGTTTCCTCTGATTGCTTGACCCTCCTCGTTTATCAAGCAGAAGAACTAATTCATTACCTGATTTCACTGTGAATATATTCTAGCAGATTACTATGCGTGTTGGTCCTAAATCTCATCTTAGGTCTCTTTCCCCGTTAATACGGTCTCATTCTGCCTTGAGTAGCTACAGCGGAGTGTACCCCTTGCGTCCAGTTTATAAGGTGTTAGACCCCTGATTGCTGTTGAAATGCGTTCGGCAGTTGTCCCTATTAAGATCCTTTTGATTGTCCCTTCCTATCCTAGTTCTATGTGACGGACGCCACCAAATTTCTGTCCGTTTCCGACCTGATACATCACCACGGGAAGCAAGCAGACGGGCTTGCATGCACGCTTCTGTATCCGGCTGCTAAGCGCGACAAGGTTACGTCTGAAGTGAGTCCAGAGGTGGACGTGTGGGAGATCGATCGGACGGAAATCATTATGAAACACAAGTTAGGTATGCTGCGCTATACTCCCTTCTCTGCTGTCTGTCTTGTTTATTAGTGGTTTACTACCATTCACAATTCACTTCATTGTCACTACTTCTTCTGAAATCTTTTCTCCCCTTTCATCCAAACTTAATATTTCAGATCGCGTTGATGCGTTGTCCAAATGATCTGATTTTTCGGTTTACAGCAATTCAGGCGGACCAGGCCTTCTTTTACCTCCTGGGTACTAAGCTACACCTCACAGAAATCTCTGTGCATAGTTACCACTGGTTTGTATCTGAAAATGGGTGATCCTATTCCTGTTAAGTGTGCATCACTTCGACGCTATCTAGTAACTGGTTTTTCATATAGTTTAACCCATTATACTTATGGTTGTCTCAACTCTCCTTCAGTGTTGTTAATGAGACGTCGCAGTTGTTCACCATAGTCAACAGCAGGTCCTCAAGAGATCTATGCAACGTCATTTCACAACCGGGTGGCCTCCAACACCAGGATATTTTACCGGTTTCCATCCGGCCGTCAGCGATGAGCACACTGGGGCTAGAAGGTGTATGCGAAATCGATTAGCTCGATCAGCATAGTCCCCAACGGTTAGGTGTAATCCAAAGTCTTCGATAACGCTCTCAGACCGTTTCGAAAGAGCAACACCAGGTTTACCGGTTTCCATCCGGCCGTCAGCGATGAGCACACTGGGGCTAGAAGGTGTATGCGAAATCGATTAGCTCGATCAGCATAGTCCCCAACGGTTAGGTGTAATCCAAAGTCTTCGATAACGCTCTCAGACCGTTTCGAAAGAAGCCGTCAGCGATGAGCACACTGGGGCTGGAAGGTGTATGCGAAGTCGATTAGCTCGATCAGCATACTCCCCAACAGTTAGGTGTAATCCAAAGTCCTCGATAACGCTCTCAGACCGTTTCGAAAGAGAAGTGCATTTTGAGGAACAAGAAATGAGTCGAAGGATATAGCTATCGACCTATCAGCCGCCCATCCTATTTGTCTCATACCTGCGAAGCCCAGCAGTTCATTTGCTGAATACTCTCTCGGCCATTGTTGTTTAGGTGGCATTCTCAGGTTGAGGTTACATAATGATGCTATGGTGTCATTCGATTCAAGCACCTAACCCAATACTGTCAAGTTCAGTGGTTTGGGGGACATTTTGGGTCTATGTCTGTGGAAAGTCTTGCTGCCGACCGCCGTGCTCGGGCAGCTGATATCCGAGACACTCAGGAAACTAGCACATCCTCCAGCGGGGCACTACGGAAGCAACTAACTAAATAAGTGATTACGCACCAGCGAGAAAGCCTTTGTGAAGAAATTATCGTCATCAGCTCATACACAGCCAACCATCGTTTCACGAAAAGCAAATAATGTCTTAGCAGAGGAGGACTCAAATAAAGCTAGGTTCTCGTCAGAGTTATAAATTTCAGTGACTTTCTGCTGTTGGCGGGGGGTGAGATGGCTCAAGTGGTTAGAGCGCGAATTTACTGACCGGAAGATCCGTGGTTCGACCTCGACTTCTGCCTCTCGACTTCCCTTGCCTAGGCTTGAGCGACCTGGCAGTATCCCAGCCCTCGTGCTTCCTTCGGGTAGCATGGCAGCTAGGCACTGGAAGGGTGTTACAACTGAATGATTTTTTCTGCTGTTGGTACGTAGTGTGCTACCTTTCATGAACTGGAAGCCGCCCATTTAAATAATAGGGGCAGACTAAAGATTTCTTGGGATATTCTACTCAGTTTCGGCGTTTCATACAAATCACGTTTGATTAAGGCCTAAGTAGTGACACTCAGTCGAACGGTATTGTTGGGAAGTAGACCTCTGAGACGACGTCAGTTGCTATCATTGTTTCCGATAGCAGCCGCTTTGTCATTGTATGGTGAAGCTAAGCGGTAGCTCGCTGATCTTCTCCCTTGACTCACTACTTTCTTTTCTACTTACTTACCGCTAGTGGTTTCTATTCCTTTTTGTGTGTTCTTAGTCATTGTTTACCACTATAGTAATATCATGAGCGTCTTTGGACTCCGCGGTCCAGGCGATTTTCGTGTTAAAAAACGGGACCTTCAGGGAAGAGGGTTCTTGAAACCTACAGTCTTTGAGCCTGTATGAAGATGTGTTTTTATTACGAATGCATATCTTGGTGATGCCTGCTACGTCCGTTGACAACTTAGCTAATTTATTCAGTTTTCTGTTTGTAATCCCTTTCGAAGTTTATTCTCACTAGTTCACTGTTGGGCGATCCGAATCATATGGTATGTTTTCATATGTTCATTTTCAAACATTTCATACGACCTTTAGACGATCGTCTTAAAAATGTCTCATTTCTTTCAAATTCTGAACTTTTTCGGAAACCTCGGTCAACGCAAACTGGACTCATTTGTTAGATGACAGGAATGGATACTATCGGCTCAGCTCTCCTAGATTGCTTTCGTCTATGTCAGTCAGCCCCTAATAATGGCCTATGATGTATGTTCCTCTAGTTCGACAATGAACTCACAGTTTTGAAACACTGATAACGTAACACTGATATCTTGCACATTTTCGAGCACGTTTCACCTTAAAAAAGACATAACGCTGTTGAGCGACCGGTTCACTGGTTTGTTTTCCATTTGTGACGTCTAATAATCAGATGGGTGACGGGTGTGTAAAATGATACGTACAACCTCAGGATCTTGCAAACTAACATCTACTGATACCAGTTACATGAATCGCTCAAGCTTCCACTAATGCTCTCCTATAACTCGTCTCCCCAGGACATCTGAAATTTAAGCCAACGATAATTTGTCTGTGCGAACGTGATGCATACGTGTTCCTAAAACCATTCAGTAGCCACGTTACAGGTCGAACTGGGCCGAGGCGTAACACTATACTGTTTGGGACAACGTGCACGGGATTACGAAGCATTTTCATATCTCTTAGTGAGTGTAGTAACTTGCTATCTCTTTCCGTAGAAGTGATTCTTCCCCTAACCGCTACCGCGACCAACGCAAAACGCGCAATCCCACTACAACGGTCATCGTCAGTCGGGAATCCTTAAGCCATGCTTGTATAAAAACATACACATTGGCTATGATGAAGATTGATGACAACTGTTATTTGACTTCTGCTTGTCCCCCTAAAACGAGGCAAAGTATTGGTGGAATGCACTTATTTCTGTTGGTGTTAACGAGTGTCACGGTCAAATATCTCCTTTGTGATATTTGTCAATCGAATGTGCTGCCTTTTGTTTCAGTTTCGGGATATAGCAGTACATTTTCGTGACAGGCATACTACGCAAACGATTAACCTTAACGTAATTTACAGTTGGGGAGCTTTCTGCAGTCTCACGAATAGAGTATATCATGTCAAGGCTAGGCATAGTTCTGGAAACAGAGTTTTTATTTTCAAACGACAAGTAGTAACTGATCCACTGCTGGCACTACTGGAATATTACTGTACTGAGATAATCTGGATCCGTCCGAGCGTCATGAAGTTTCTTCAAGTTCAAAGCACAACGTTGTGAGATTTGCTTCATTTGGTCTACTATTTTTGTAACAGTGCCTTCAATAGGGGAACGCCCAGTAGATTTACCGATTGGTTACAACGTGGCTTGTGATTCGGTGATTATTACCACCTAATGCCTAGTGCAACAAAAACATAATACCGTGCTACCGAAACACCAACCAGGTTGTCAGTTTCTCATCACAATTTCTTGATAAGAAAGAATAAACCACAGTCATCGGATTCTGTCAAATGTTGCCAGTGTTAGTTTTAGCATCCGTTTCCTAAATCGAAAGTCTCTTTTTACCGTTCAGTTTAAGACCAATTTCCAATAGGGCTTTGCGACTTATCAATCGAAGGATAAAAGATATCGGGAAATGCCAATATGTGGTTGAATTAAAAGTGAGATCATCTGTCCTAGTTTCGTAAAGAATGACCGTCCCCGTTGTTTATTGAGCGTGATCGATCTAGAGGAGGAGAATCGTCGTGAAAAGGAGAATACGTCCTCGCTGGATAAAGCGAGTTCTTTACTTCACTCACAACCTATACTCCAAATCTCGATTTTTTTATTTGGTCTGGTGCAGTTCGCCCGTCTATTTTTGTGATTCAGCCTACGGTGCCCAACCATCGCCAACTGTTCGTCTAGTCGTTCACAGAATGTTGTGGGATGTCGTGATGTGTAATTGACGTGTTATACAACACCTTCCTAGCTGGTCCTTTTGTTGCTCTCAGGTGTCGATGCGGCTGTCGTAGGCAGCTTCAAGTGTCGAACTAGGCTTATCGAAATCAACAAGCAGTTTACTCTGTCTGCCACATGCATGTGTCTTTCCAAGTCGTCTGCTTGTGCAACTACCTGATTGACATCGGCAAACTCGGAGTTTTGTGTGCTCTTTTATTTCACTGCATGACTCGCTTTAATTTCTGCTTTGAAACTTGACAGCCACCAAGTATCGTTGGTGGGCGGCTCTGGTACTGTTCGGGCACATGCGTCTCTCCAATCACTGGTTTAATCTGATCTTTTGTTTTCGTACAGACTTCTGGATTGGGAGTTATGAGATCTTTTGTGAGATTGAAGTTCGTTTGCGTAGGAAAGTTAGTGCAGTGTGTTAGCCATTCTAGTACACTCCACGGTCGCACCTCAACTTTATCAATGGAAAATCAGCACACTTGTTCGTAGTCGGTTTATCCCAGTAATTCTGGTCAGATAATCTTGTTTTGCGACACCCGTCGTGGAATTTCATATGGCCTATTTGCCTAGTTTACTACTGACCGATTCGCAAAGACTATGGTGTCCACAAAAAGCATAAATACAAGACTGCTAGTAGATAGGGTGGATGGCCAGAAGTGTGTCTGCACAATGTTGTGTTCCAAATCCATTAAAGCTCATGAGGGATAGTAGCCCCAGCTATTGCGTACATGTGCTTTCCTGGTACAAATTTTGAGTGATACCGAATAAAAGTTGTAAATTTAGATTCACAGTCCTGAGCACAACTGGGTGTTCAGGGATGCCCGGACACATCTTTCCCTCCTGGGA